CACCAAAGCACCAGCAGCCCCACACTGGTAGGAAAAGCTACGCCCACGCAGGGATGTGCCAGGCAGACCGAGCCCCACGGACCCTTCCAAAGCAGCTCTCCTGGCCCTTCTCAGATAGAGGCCTGGGTGCCAGCCTCAGAGTAACCAGTCACGGGTGCCACCCCCCAGGGACACGCTGACTTGGGCTTCCTCGGCCCTCAGCACACGCCGGCTTAGAGACAGTGTGAGCCTAAGGTGCAGGAAAAACCAAGCAGAACCCATTGTCCCGGAGCAGAGCCAGCTCATAGCACCCCTGACGGACAGCGTAGAACTGCACGCCGTGGGTTGCAGAGGCTGTAAACTGTTACCATCTCTGAAGCCCACGGTGGGGGTAGGGGTCACTGGGAGTCTGAAGCCCACGGTGGGGGTAGGGGTCACTGGGAGTCAGCATGGACTCCATGGCCGCGAGCCTGGTTTCTGGTAACTCGTTATGGGAGTAAAAGTCCCACCTTTCTCCCCAGGACCGGCACTAGGTGAGCAGCCCCACCTGAAAGCACTTCTCCACCAGAGCTGCAGTGCCCCGGGGTTCTGCCCACCGAGCACAGCGCCCTGTCCCGCAGCACCCACCTGGGCCCGTGGAACTGACAAGCATGAAGACCCAGCAGGCCGCGCGCGAAAACAAACAACAAATTCATGGCCTACCACTGCCCTGTGGGGTCTGAGACTGAGACTCTTCCAGGGAGCAGAAAGCCTCGTCCTTCTCCTGCGGAGCGGCTGGTGGTTTGGAACTGCCGACCTTGTGGATAGCCTCTCAATGCTTCATCCGTGCATCACCAGGGTAATAAAATCCTTGTCTTGGGCCCAGAGTGTCGAGTCGCCTGCAGGCATGAAGGAACCACTACGAAGAATCCTGCCCCAGGTCTTAGCGCTGTGCCACTCCCCTGCCATCATTTATTCCTCCTGAGGTAGTGGGTCAAGGTCTGGCCTCAGGCACCTCCTTCTCTCTAGACACCCTGGTCTCCCCCCACCCGGCCTGCAGGACTCGTAGGATGCCTGGTGGGTCCCTCGAAGGTATGGACCAGAAGAAGCAGGGATTTGATGGAAGGTGAGAGGCACCAGGTTTAGTGCAGCTAATGTAAGGTGACCAGATTTTAACATTGGTAAAGCGGGACACCATTGATAAAACTCATATCCTGGCGAAATAGCCACATGGCAGCCGAAAACCGTATACCCTAGCTTGCCATGCAGTCTTTCCAAAAATCGGGACTATTTTAAAACGCCGCGGGACACGAGACAAATTGTTAAAAATTGGAACTGTGCTGCCAAAAGCGGGACGTCTGGGCACCTTACTAATGGTTTGGGGGACCCAGCAAGAGACAGTTACTGAGTGTTTATCCTGTCCCTGCGAGCAGGATGAGGCTTAGACTCTTGGGAGCGCAACCAAAGTGGCCAGGGTGGCCAGCTACCACTGAGGGACCAGGCCATGTGACCCCAGGACCGGACGGCCTCCGTCTGACCCAGAGCAGGCCCCACAGGGGGCTTGGTAGATGGGAAGATGGAGCACCCAGGGATGCTGACACCCTCCCCACTCCCCCATCCCGTGCCTCCATTAGGCAGCCTACTCCTTGAGGGGGAAGTTGGCAGGGCCGCCATCTGCACCCCATGGTGGGGGAGCTTTCACAGTGTCCTGAGAGAATATTCCAGGCCTTGGTGGCCAGCACCCAGCCTGTCCGATGATTGCCTTTGGTTGGATGAGGTTCGGTGAATGGAAGACTTATGAAGTCCTCTGGCCTTGAGGAAACTGCCCTGCTGCTCTCTGTGAGTTTCTGGCTCTGTGACCACAGGTCTAGGTTGGGGGTGGGGAGTGGGTGCTGGAGCTCTTCCCTGGAGCCCCCAGGCAGGACCACCAGGGCAGTGTCTGCACAGGGCATCCCTGCTAGGGCAGGAGTCTGCAGAATCAAGGCAAGCTGGTGGGAGGCGTCCTGCCTTGGTCGTAAAGGCCGGTTACACTATTTCAGCTCCAGAGACGGCCACACCTTTCCACCTTGTCTTCCAGGGAGCCTGGAGAGGCCCGGGGTTAGGGAAGGACTAGCCCTGTTGTATATTCATCCGAGGTGGCACCTGGAGCCGGCACATCTGGCTCCCTCGGCATGTCCCTTCCAGCATGCCAGGAGCTGGCAGGGACCATGACCACCACGTGTGGACTGGGTAGGGCCTGCCCAGTCACGGCTCCCAAATGCCTGCCCGAGGTCGTGGATTCTACCAGCTAGGGCAGAGTCAGCTCAAGGTCACCCAGTGGGCTCAGTCCTGAAGTCAGCTCCAACGGTCACAACGCTCCGTGGGAGCCTCACTCCATCTCTGTGACCGCAAAACTCTGGGTCCTGCTCAAAAGCCTGCGCCGAGAGGGAGAGCAGCAGGCGGGGAGGTGCCACTCTCGATGGCCTGGGACCCAGAGGGCCAAGAGAAGCCTCTCCCTGCGGGAATCACTTGTCCTCTGCTCCTCCCCACCCCCAACCCCCACTGCTCGCTCCACCACCTCCACCCTCACCCCTCCTGCCACCACCAGACTCTTGGAGGTAAAGGATGGAGGGAGCAAGAGGGACTTGTGCTGGGCCTGTGCCGGCTGGGGCCGCGGGCGCACAGAGGCCAGAGCCAGAGAGTGGATGGCACCTAGCACCCTGCCTGCCTTGGAGCTTTGGCACGTGCTGCTCTTCCTCCTGGGATGTTCTTGTCCCAGGATCCACGAGGTTCACTCCCTGACTGTGCTTTCTGCTCCAATGTCCCTCACACAAGCTTCCACTCCCGCCCTGCACAGCCCGGGTCTCTGTGTCCCTCTCTGTCGCTGGCTTTTCCTTCCACCTGAGTCACAAAACAACGCGCCGTCAACTCGCTACAGGCCTTCTCTCCCCATCGACGGGTTCTGTTCTGAGGATTCTGTGCTGTATCGGCTGTGGCCACCTGGACAGGAAGGCCAGGGCAGGGCTACCAACGTAGGACCACCAGGGCAGGTGGCCCAGCCATCTCCCTTTCAGAGCCGGCTACTCGGCAGTGTTTTGCACGGCACGCCACCACATGCACATCTTCAGTGGGCACCGCAGAATGGTCATGCCGGCAACTTCTGCACCTCAACACCTCCACCTAGTTGGCTTCAACTCACAGTGACCGGGCGTATAACAGGGTGGAATGCCACTGGTCGGTCCCATGCCAGCTGACGAATGCTGTTCTGTTGGAGCCCATCGCTGCAGACACTACTGTGTCAGTCCATCTTGGCGCAGGTCTCCTCCCTTTCGCTGATGCTTAGCATGATGTGCTGTTCCTCACACGGTTTCCAGGCCGGACGGCAGCTCAATGTACAGGAAACCAAAACCCTCACAGCTGGACCGAGAGGCAACATCATGAGAAATGGAAAATGGAGGACAGATTGACGTGGTCAAGGATTTGGGTCTCGGCTTGGCTCCACAATCAAAGTTCACGGAAGCAACGGTCCAGAGATCAAACCACACACAGCACAGGGTAAATCGGCCACACAGGACCTCTTTAAAGTGCTGAAAAGCAAAGATGGTACGTCGAGGACAGAGGTGCCCCTGGTATCTCAGTCATGTCAGATGCCCGTGAACGGTGGACATTCAGTCTTTCTGAACACTAAAGACGAATGGACGCATGTCAACTACAGTGATGGCGGGGAAGATCGACAGTTCCCCAGGCTTGCAAAGTCCCAGAAGAACAAACACGTCTGTCTGGGAAGAAGCACAGCCAGGATGCTCCTTAGAAGCAAGGGCAGCGAGGTTCTGTCTCATGTCCTTTGGACATGTTACCCAGAGAGACGGTCCCTGGAGAAGGACATCAGGCTTGGTAAAGTGGAGAGGAAGGCGCTCGATGAGATGGATGGACCCCGCGGCTGCACCCATGGGCTCAGACCTCACAGTAAGGGTGAGGGTGGCCGTGACCGGGTGGAGTTTGATTCTGTTGTACATCGGGTCACCATGAGTCAGAGCCTACTCAACAACACCTCAACAGTACCTAGGACGATGCACACCTTTCCTGACTTTAATCCACGCAGTCTTCCCTGGCTCCGGACTACCTCTTGGCCTGTGGACAGGTTCCTCCCCAGGAGCAAAATGTTCTGTTCTGAATTCCCGTTCTTCTCCATCGTACCCATCATTGGCCATGGCCCACACTGCCCAATGCTCCTGCACAGCCAACCACACACACCCAAACACAGGCTCTGGGATTCTCTGCTTCCAGCCAGGAGCCATCTGACGGCAGCAAAGATAAAACATCTAAACGACAAAGGATGCTTCCAAGAACTCAAGGTCACCGGAATGTGCCCTAAGCTAGGTGCCGCCTGTGCTTAGATGTCTGTCTGTCTGTCTGTCTGTCTGTCTCGGCTGCACGTCCCTGTGAATAAAGCCTGCAGACGCCAGGACTCTGCCCACCTGGTTGACCGTGGTGACCGGTGCAGAGGGCAGTGGCGGCCCCCACTGCAGACCTAGGCTGATTGAGCACAGGTGTCTGCAGAGAGGGAGAGGGTGGGTTCCTTCCAGGTTGGGCTCAGCTAGAGGTGGGGTATCTTGGGGGTGTCTGGGCCTGAGGGGATCTTATACAAAACAACAGTACAATCATACAGCACAACCTTCGAAAAGTAGAACCTGCATAAGGCAGACAAGGCCAGAGAAGGACCATCCACCGTATCTCACTGTGAGAGCCACACGCAGCAAAGCGACCGGACACGCAAGAAAACCCACGGTGCCTGTTAACAGGGCAGCCCTGCCGGGTTCCACTCTGACAGGGTTCACCAGCCTCACATCAGTCCTGCCCGAGGCCCCCACTGCCGCCCTCCAGACCCCAGACCTGGATTTGAAGGGTGCCATATCTCAGTCCAGCCCCTTTCGGCTCTGACCCCGCTTCCTCAGCCGTCCTAAGGGCCGGAGAGGCAGAGCTGGACCTGTCACTTCCTTTGTTTTTGCAGAAACAACAGAAACAGAAAGGCAGTGGGGGCAGCGGGTTCCGGGCGTGGTTGGGCAGGACATGAGCCAGCAGCGCGTGAGGAGGTGCCTGGTGCCTGGCACCCAGAGGGCCACGGCATCTGGTCCCACACAGCCTGGTGTCCTGGGGTGGGGCATGAGGATTTTTGCTGGGGTCCAGGTGGGCCTGGGGCTCAGGTGTGTCCAGGTGTGTGCACTGGGGTTGGGGCTGCTTTATCCAGCACTTTCTAAGGAGGCTGGTGGCACAGTCAGTCAGATGTTGGCCGCTCACTGCAAAGTCAGCAGTTTGAAGTCAACAGATGCTCCAGAGAAGAAAGATGAGATTACAGATTTACAGCCTCAGAAGCCGCCTCTAGGGTGGCTATGCGTTGTAATCTACTCTTTGATCGTGGGCTCTGTGCTGTGGCTGAGGGTCACCCCGTGTGTCTCTGGCCCAGGCCCCAGCTTACAGACCGGCCTGTGGCCTGTACTGCAGAATGCTAGGCTGGGGGTGAGGGGGAAGATATGGGGGTGCCAGGATGTACCATTGACTCGGTGGCTTTTGTTTAAGGGGGACACTGGGTCAGCCACTCCCCTCTCTAAGCCTCTGTGTCTTCATCTGCACAAGCCTTCGGGGGTGGCTGCAACGACTGTATAAGAGAAAGAATGGGGAGACACCTAGCAAGCGGTGCAGTGGGTTCAGGGCTGGGCTGCTAACCAAGAGGTCAGCAGTTCAACCCCACTATCTGGTCCACGGGAGAAAGAGGAGGCTGCCTGCTCCCAGAAATATTCACAGGCTCAGAAAGCCTAGGGAGTGGTTCCACTCTGTCCGATAAAGTCGCTATGAGTTGGAATCACCCCCACAGTGGTGGGTTTGGGTTGGATGCTATAGGGTC